TATATATATATATATTTGTAACATACTGCATATATTAAGCTGATCACACTGAAAATTATTTTAGTCTGCACATGAACTAGTGAATTAAAAAATAAACATGATAATATAAACCTGAAGATGAAATAGTAAAAACTAGGGCTGTCAAAGTGATTAAAAGATTAATTGTAAATAATCTGTAAATAATTCTGAATAATTGCACGTAACTTTGAACACTAAAAGTCATTTTAGTTTGCAAGTGAACTAGTGAATTAAAATAAACCAAAATTAATAAATTGAAATAGTAAAAGTTGCACAGATTTCTGAAAATAATTGCATATAGCACAAAAATGTAAACATTGAAAATAATTTTAATTTGCAAGTTAACTAGTTAATTTAAAATTCATAAAATGAAATAGTAAAAACTAGGGCTATCAATTGATAAAAATTTTTTTATTAGCACATATTTCTGTAAATAATTGTGAATAATTACTAGGGTTGCAAAGGGGTGGAAAATTTCCGGAAACTTTCCAAAAATCCCTGGAATATTCCAAAAAATCCTGGAAAGTTTCCAAAATTTACTGGAAAATTTCCCCCTTTTTGCAACCCTAATAATTACTCATAACATTAAAATTTGAAATCTTAAATATATTTTCACATCTCCATATTTATGTATTTTATACAGTATTGAAAGACTGGTGCTAGCTGTCAAAATGTTTTCTCCAGTCGATATTTTTCATGGTGGCTTGCCACTTTTTTTCTTTTTTAACAAGAACAGTTCAACCTTTCAGCTATAATATACCTTCATTATATAATTTATATCCCTTTTTTCCTTTTTTTTTAATATATGCCAGTTTGTACTATTATTTCAAAACGTAACAATTACTAAGAAATATGTGACAATTAGCCTGCTCTTTTCTACATAAGAATTTCGCCATATGAAGTAGATGAGATTTAGACGAGTCTATGTCTACACTGTTCATAGTCTGTATATGACACTGCATGATTTGTTCCAAGTGTTAGTTTGTATATTGGTTTAGTAATTTCTTTAAACAGCCCTATTTAGCAAAACAATACTACATCCATAGTCACAAGTGGATTGGAGAGCAGATGAGTATGGTCCTGTATGTGTGTACAATAGCACATTCATTGGTCAACACTTGTAGCAACAGCACTCATGATGGTCAAACTGTCACAGTTCAGCACTCGATGGAGATGCACATGGTTGATGGGATGACTGTGGTGGGCGGACGACAGGGTTGAGAGAGCATCTTACCTCTTTTTCTGATGTTTACAACCAGTTCGAGAGGTTTTAAGGGCTGTTTTCCCAATGTATATCTTTTTCATGGTTTTTCGCAGTAGACCACCTCTCATGAAGGTCTGTGTATAAATTCTCTGCTTCCTAACAGGGATTCCACTTATTCCTGCTTGAGTCTGAGGTTACGTTTCCCATGCAGCCCTGACAAACCGCTGGAGATCCTGCCAACAGAGCAAAGAGAGTGGCGGGTGGCGCTTGCAATCATATTACAAAATACTAGCGACAGCAATTAAGAAAGTGTCATCAAACTTGCGATTCATCTCGAAGCTTCATGCATGAAACTGTCATGGCAAGAATGAGCGCGCGGCGACAGGCGTAATTAACCTCTTTGGGCCGATGCCTCTGTGCTGATGTTTCCGTTTGACTGGAGGTCCCTCGCACAGGTGCGATCGTGAGCGGCGAGATGAATTAAGGTAGGAAAGCGATGAGACAGCGTGCGACTTCATCAAAAACATTCACATGCAGAACCTTACGTGTGCGTATATGCGCCTAGATAATCTATAGAGTACTGCAGTTTGGAGAATATTTATACCACACACTTACGGCAACTTTTCCACTAATAGGGTTCGAAACAAGGCCCGAAACTCTTCAAAAGTTTGAAAGGAGGTGCTTAAAGTTCAGAAATGGATTGTCAGCCTCACTACATTTTATACTAGCTACTGAATATTTATTTTAGATGAGGTTTGCAATTTTTGCTAAATTTGTTACCAAGATTTGGAACATGCTAAATTTGTTATTTTCTTGAAAGAAGTCTCTTATGCTGAGCAAGGCTGTATTTATTTATTTGAATATACAGTAAGAGTAATATCTCTTTCAGTGTTACATGATCGTTCAGATATCATTCTAATATGCTGATTTGGTGCTCGACATATCTTATTATGTTGAAAACATTGAGCACATTAGAATGATTTCTGAAGGATCGTGTGTCACAATGAAGACTGGAGTAGTGATGCTATTTTTAAACTGTAATAATATTACATAATTTTGCTGTATTATACTGTATTTCAAAGATGAGAACATTGAATGAGATTATTCACTTCCACCGTGTATGGGTCCAAATGGTTTTAAATCTTGTTTGTCACAATTAAAAGGATTTTGCTCTAATTGGGGAAATACGAAATGCGAGGGACGGCAAAACATTTTTGGACAATTAACATGAGTGAATAAATATATTTTTTAATAAAATGAATTACATATCAACAGAACATGTGAAGGTCAATGCATTGTTGTATCATTTATGTGGATTATTTTAATCATTTTAATTTTAAAGGCACCACTACTCTAAGAGTGATGTGGCAAAAAAATAAATAAAACAATAATAATAATAATGGGAATTATCATTTTGCAATCCCAAACACTTTACAACAAAGTTACAGTATACATTAACATGCACTACATTCTAAATTAGGTATCATGAATTATTTCATGTCTTTTTCACATATTTGTTCATCTTGATTAACATTCATTTTTAAATATACAAGAATATTATGTGGTGTGCAACAAGATAAAATCAGAAATTTGATGACATTTACAGTGTTTTTTTACATTTTGTCCCCAAAACGCAGGGTTTACCAGGACCACACACACACACACACACAGTTTTGCCTCCAATGCTTTAAAAAATGTAATAATGGCATTTATTAAACCCTATTCATGGAAAATGCCTTGTGCATTTTTTTACTTGTCTGTTTTTATTTTTGCACAAATACTTGCACTGAAAGACATCATTTTTCCTGTCTTCCTGTCTCCTATTTCCATCCAGTCCATCAGGTGAGGAAGGAGAGATTTTTGTGACAATTGATTATGCATTTCTCTTTCCCCCACCTCTGACTCATCGCACACTAATTTTTTTTCTCTACCGTCTGAATCACCGCAGGGTGTCAATATAACACATCTCCCTAAATGCTCACCCACGAACATTTACCACATCACGAGGAGCAATCTTATATCACGGGGGGCTGCAGCCGCTGCATTGGCTGCATTTGATCTTTCGGAAAGAGCAGCTGACATTTTAGAGGCGTGAGGGAGGGAATGAAAGACAAGTGGAGCTGGAAGATTAGAGGGGCAGGAGTGAGACGGAATAAAGGAATGAGCAACAGAAAAACGAGACTTTGTATTCTGCGCCTCTCAACGCCGAGACATTATCTCCCAGAAAACCCCCTCATCGTATGTGCACACATAGCTGCACTGACATACATCCCATGATGCACCACACATACACTCGTGGCCCGACATACACCTCACAAAGTCTGTGGATCAACTAAACAACATGGAATCAAATTGGACGAGGGTTGCCAGGTCTGCGTAACAAATCCAATCCAATTGTTAATAAAAATTATCCCAATCGCATTTCGGGTCAAAATATAGTCAAAAGGGGAGATGGGGGATCACTGAAAGACATAAACGGAGTATAAAAGTCGCCCAAATACCATAGACTTGGCAACACTGCGATGAACCAAACTTACATCTGGATCTCATGATAACATGAGATCCAGACGCTGCACATACTAGGCACTTCAGATCAAAGCCTCAGCGGTCTAACAGCGCTCGTCAATGTCAAAATGACTGAGATGGCCAATCAAATCAAATTAGGCAGGGTTTACTGTTCACAGAAGCAGAGCGCGAAGTGTCAGTTTAACGCTCAGTTTAAGTCAACTTTTAACGATACGTTTTACAATATAAATGTTAAATGACCGACAGCTATATCCAGTGATGCAAACTACTCAAATTTTTTTATTCTCAAATATGGTCATTTTGAGAGAGAGAGAGAGAGAGAGAGAGAGATGTGTAAATTGTTTGCATCTGTGGCCATGTCCACACGTACATGGGTATTTTTATGGGAGTTTTTCCTTCTTCCGTTTTTAAAAAAATCTCCATCCACATGAAAACGCAAACGCATGCTGTGAAGCACTGTCAAGAGCATGCCAAACCAACAGGTGGCGATATAATCTCAACCGTAAAGCCATTTTGGCCAATGAGAAGCCTGAAAAAGTTTCCAGTAGGCGGAGATAACAGCGCAGGCGCCTGACGTCACAAGCCAAAAACTCTGGTTTCGCTGTCTACACGATAACACTGCAACCGGAGTTTTTGAAAATCTTCACCCTGGCAGGCGTTTTCAAAAATGTTCGGTTTCAGTGAACTGGTGCCGCGATTGCGTGTGGACGAACGCCCTAACCGCGTAGAAAAATCTGCGGTTTTAAAAATAACCGCGTTCGTGTGGACAGGGCGTGTGTCTCTCTCTACAAACAATGAAGCTGAGTTTAGTTACTTAAAAGACAGCGATTTTACCCCCCTCGTTGCTGAGAAATATAATGTAGCGATTCAGTATCGATTAATAAAAGTCACTTGGCAGAGCTGACAACATGTTTATGAGCTTCTGAATGTTAATTTTTGCACAGCGCGATTTCAGATCTCTGTGTGCAAGTGGTGCGTGTGTGTGCGCATCAATTAAAGCAGGCCATTAATATAGAACGTGATTAAACTGAACGGTTTTAAAGGGTTAGTTCACCCCAAAATGCAAACTCTGTCATTAATTACTCACCCTCATATCCTTCCAAACCCGTAAGACCTCCGTTCATCTTCGGAACACAAATTAAGATATTTTGATGGAATCTGAGAGCTCTCTGACCCTCCATAGACAGCAACGCAACTGAAATGTTCCCAGACAGAAACGTAGCAAGGACATCGGTAAAACAGTCCATGTGACATCAGTGGCTCAACTTCAATTTTGCCAAGCTACGAGAATACTTTTTGTGCGCAAAGAAAACAAAATTGATGACTTTATTCAACAATTCTTCT